TTTAAACAACATGACTTGTAGGTCCAAAAATAAAATAAAAACTACATGACCTTACTCAGAAAAGCTACATGTATAGAACATTGTGACACTACTTACAGAACAAAGCCACAATCTACAGTGGGAGTTCACCATCTGTCACGATTAACTATGAATTTTTTCAATAATCTATGTAAAGGAGTGAACTATTTCGATAGAGAAAATTTGACAAGACAATAACAATATCAGTCATTCTTTAGTTTTAAGAAATACCAACACCAGGAAGAGTTTACTAACCTTTCGATATAAGAACCATGCATAAAATGACACATCATGGAACATCCCATAAAGTTTTCAGACAATGGATCTTATAACACGCAATTAATCTCGTAACTGTCATCAAGCACTGGATCTCTTAGCACCAGAGGTAGTTGTACACCATCATGACCTTGGTAACTGGAAATCTGAAATCATGAAGAAATGTTACGTTTCCAGAAAACCATCCACAATTGTTTGAACTACATCTGAAATGGTATCACAAGAAAAAGAGAATTGGAGGTTCTGGTGACGAGGAAGCACATGATAAAAAAAAATACTAACAATAGACACCTGAAATTGAAAACAGAGTAGTGCCAATTAGATTGTAGACCCGTGTGCAAACGAAAAGTGAACAGAATTTGAACCTATTTACTGTCAATTATAAATTATATTTGGCTGACAGGTATGTATAACAAATGGATACAAACATGGTACCCAAGAAAACTATCTATGAAACAGCGACTATCACCTAGCGGCATACCTCAACAAGAGCAGTTAAACTGACACCACATGCAATCAAGATAGTGAGGATCGGGCCCAAGAGTTCCACCAGGTACTGCACAAACCAATTTAAAAAGAGATAGAGATGATGTCATCTATGTAGCATTTACAAGGTTCAGAGGTGGTTAAAGTAAGGTAAGTCTGCTGATATTCAGCAATATTAATTCCCTAGTAGCAAAAAGGTAGATACATAGAACAGGAAAAAGAACGTTGCACGTAAGTCAAAATAAGAGAGGAATACCTTTGACAAGGATTTATAGCTGAAATAGCGCACATCATAAAAACAGCCTGTTTATTTATTGTTTTAACATCAATAGCCTGCATTCCTACCAGTAGGGAATACAATGTTAATACTTAATAATAAGCAACGAACTGATTGTATACTCAAAACGCTTTTAAGAATACAAGATAAAATGAGAAAACTATTACTTGCAACTCTCTGTCTTCAATGTGAACTCAAGATCAACAATGAATCTTTTATATGGTATATTTCTCACATGATATAGAGAACTCTTTATGGAATTGTTGCAGTTTGCTCTTCAGTTCACCAATGCCACCAATAAGCCTCTTTGCTGCCTGAGAAAAGGTCAGTGACCAAACGTAATTTCTCAAGCCAATAGATGAATGGCTAGTATCACTGAATAAATACGTATGAAATACTAAACTAGAGAGAGAGCCAATGGTAGGCAACTTAGCTTGAAAAGTACATTAACTTATTGAAATTGTGTGAACGAGACTACCAAACTTTTTTTTTTCATTCACTAGTATCTTTAACTCCAGATAAAACTATAACCGTAATGGCAAGCCAGATTGTGTACCTTAGTTATCAAGGGACTCTTTAACTTGTTGGCAGTCTGATAGTTCACACAGTCAGCATCACTGCATAACACAAAACTATCAGACTTGAGAAATGAAAATGAGAAAAACTTGAGTCAAGTTAGATTTGTACATTGGTTGTGGGAGCTCATCCTTCAATAACAATCCGTCCTTCACAAGCTCATCCAGAGAAATCAACAATGTGTTCCCACAATTTGCATCCTAGAAGTAACCACATCAAGTGATTAGCAATAACTGAG